CCCTTCGTTTTTTGACACCTGGCTTCCTGGAAGCCCCATCATAGTTCCAAGAAGGGCAACAAATGAATGCTGAGCAGAACAGAGTATAACTAAATAGGTATTAAAAATTCTAATATATCGGCTTGGCTCCCGTAACTCGGTGGTTAATGGCACTGGCCACATGCACCGAGGCTGGCAGGTTCAAACCCAGCCTGGGCCTGCTAAACTGCAGCAAAAAAATAGCTGGGTGTTGTGGCAGGCGCCTATAGTCCCAGCTACTTGGGAGGCTGAGGCAAGAGAATCGCTTAAGCCCAAGAGTTTGTGGTTGCTCTAAGCTGTGCCACCACGGCACTCTACCAAAGGTGACAAAATGAGACTCTGTCTCAAAAAAAAAAAAAAAAAATTCTAATATCTACTGAGCATTCTACTAAAACAATGCTGGAACCTAGAGAACCCAAAGATACTGGGTCAGTTACTTTATCATTTGCAAACAAAAAGATTTCTAGCACTATATGGAGTTTCAGAAAGCTGCAAGTGTGTAAGAGCTACTATGCTCAGATGTACTGTAATGAGAACCCAGGACAGCGAAAGAGTTAAAACTGAACTTCATAAGTTATATGAAAAACTTATTATAGACTCTATTTATACTGTTAATGCTTAAGGGATGTTGTTTTGTCACAAACAATTCTAGAAAACCCCAGCAACAAATGCACCACTCATTTTATATAGCCACTTGGGGGCCTGTTTTACCTGGGGCTGGGCACAGGGGCCAGATCACGAATTAGGGAGATAGAGAGAGGCTGTTCACCTTCACTGTCTATTCCTTCATCTACTTGTTGTTCTGAACTAATGGATCAAATTGGTTGAGGAAGACCTGAAGTCAAGATCTGAGATGCACCAATGTTTAAACTGTTCCCTTCCTCTGCCTGGAATCAGAGTTACTCTCCTCACGTACACTTCATAAGGAACTCTCCAAAATTCCACCATACTACCTCCCAATTACAAGGGAGGGGAGCTTCCCATATACTAATATACCAGAGTAAAGTACACATACACAGAACTACCCGAAGAGTGTTTTCCTTTTTCTGTGGGTTCCTTTTTTCTTGATCATATGTAAAATAAGGTTAAAAGGAAGGGATAAATTACGGAAGAAACCTTGGTTCAAAAGCTCATTGATCATGTTTTAAAAACATCAGTGTGTTAAGATTCAAACACAGAAAGAAGGATTTCTAATTTGTATGTTTTAAAAACAAACTGGTATCCTTTCATTAGGTTTGTGTGCCAGCCACAGCCTCCAGATAATTCCCACTTCTCAGGTCCCAGCCAAATATTTCACATTGGGTTAGTTTTGCTCAGATACTTGCTCTGAAGTACCATGATATCCAGAGTTTTCCCACCTTGAGACAAAAAGAAAGAAAAAAAAGAAGAAAAAGAGACCCAAGGGTACAACAGGTTCTGTTTGGGGGTTGGCAGTAACGCAAAATCCAACAGCTTATGTGTGTATACCCACACATACACACACACACACACACATTCTTTTCACACATTCTTTTCTTTGTCGTTTTTTTGACTTCTGGTGATATTAACTCCAGAACCAGGGATAGCCTTATACATGTAAACACATGGCACTGGGAGGAGCACACAGCTTTGTCTCTACCTCCTTCATCGAGCTTCTGACTATTACAACCTGATAACCCTGGTTGTAGACAGCAGGAACCAGACATCTGTAAGGTTTTTTTTTTTTTTTGTCCCCATGTTCTCATAATCCCAGAACTAAGTGCAAAACTTCTAAGGGTCCTGACCAAACTATTCCTAGCTAGAGCCCCAAATCAGGAAAATCATAGGTTTTAATATTATTGCCACTGCACTGTCCCACTTGTCTTAGAAACATATATAACGAGTAGACAATGGTAACATTTGCCTCCTTTTCGGTTATGAGGCCAGAACATCGTATTCCTCAGCTTTTACACCTCTTAGACACTCTTTTGCTAAAGGGATAGTCTGGAGCTTCAGGGAACTGCTGCATATGCTCAGTCATCCAACTCTTCACTGTCCTGGAGTCATCTCTGTCTGGGAAGGTCTCAAGTTGCCCAGCAAGCACCAATTCCCTTGGGAGTGCCCTATAGTGAATAAATGTCAAATTCTCCCCACGGCCAAAATGTGAGGGAAAGGAAAGAAAGAGAGAGTGAAAGAAAAATGTCTTTGCTTTCAAGTAGAATCATCTAATCCTCTGTTTGGCTGCTCAGAATTTGACTTGCATAGCCGGTCCATGATGCCCTGGAGCATGGGCTGGACAATGCCCAGGAGAGGCCTCTTCAAGGGGTCACCATCCCAACAGGCTTCCATCAACTGCCAGCACTCTTCATCAAACACGGGAAGCCGCTCTGGCCGGGCCCCTAGAGAGAAGAGCATGGAAAGATCACAGTAAGAGGGGCCCAACACAATGAAGAGGAATGGCCAGTTTGAAGGCTCATTACTCAGCTGGGGCTTGGGACACTAGAGAATGTAATGAGCTTTAAGTGCATCTTAGAACCTAATAGTGGGCTCGGTGCCCGCGGCTCAAGCCGCTAAAGTGCCAGCCACATACACCTGAACTGGTGGTTTCGACTCTAGCCCGGGCCCACCAAACAACAATGACGGCTGCAACCGAAAAACAGCCGAGTGTTGTAGCGGGCACCTGTAGTCCCAGCTACTTGGGAGGCGGAGGCAGGAGAATCGCTTGAGCCCAGGAGTTGGAAGTTGCTGTGAGCTGTGACGCCACAGTAATAGCTTGAGGCTCTATCTCAAACAAAAAAAAAAAGAAGAACCTAATAGCGATAAAAATCTACAACATATTGGCATAGAAGTTCGATAGAGTGCTGCTTGGAAGCAAAGGTTTCACTTAAATGTCTTCTCCGGATTCCACGATTGTTTAAGTGTGCACGTGTGCCTGAGGAGGTGGTAGAGGAGAATATGAGGCCCCTGTGGCAGTGCCTGGGCTCAGTCTGCTCTTGCCAAGGGATCAGGATAAAGTAATGCTCATGGCTCTTACCTCTCCGCACATTGTTCCAGAGATGGTCTTTGCTGGCACACCTCTCAAATGCCTCAGGGAGCTTGACAGAGCCTGAGCAGATATACCAGAAAAGAATCCCAAAAGCATAGACATCCACGGAATTATCATACTTCCCTATGGCAAGAAAGGATGAAAAGCAGTGAGCCAGGAAGAGGAGGGCAGTAGCATCACTGCCACCTTGTACTGCAGAGGTCTTTAAATTATTTTGTCTAAGGCTTTCAACATCCATTATCTTTTATAACAACCCTGTCGGGTAGGTAAGGCACATCTATAATGCTCATTTTACAATACAATAAACTATGACATTGCGAGGTACAGGTAGATAAGATATTAACAGAGCCATGAATAGAATTTGACAAAGGAGAGGAAAAATAATACCTTTCATTTTAATGGGTTAGTCAAAAACTTAACCTGATAGGTCACATTAGGAAAATAAAGTTAGAAAATACAGGTGGGTAGGTAAGTTAGAATATCAAGTTTTTAAAGTTGGAAGAGTCTGGATTCAGTGCACAGCAGGAAGTTTTTTATGTTTTAGAGCAAGAGGTGACATATAGATTTTAACATTTTAGAAAGAGACCAGGCATAGTGCCTCACTCCTAGCACTCTGGGAGACTGAGGCAGGTAGACTGCTTGAGCTCAGAAGTTCAAGACCAGCCTCAGCAAGAGTGAGATCCCATCTCTACCAAAAACAGAAAAATTATTAGAGCATGGTGGCATAGGCATGTAGTCTCATGAGGCTGAGGCAAGAGGATTACCTGAGCCCAGGAGTTTGAGATTACCATGAGCTATGACACATGGCACTCTAAGAAAAACAACTGAACAAACATTTTAGAGGCTTGGCATCTATAGCTCAGTGGCTAGGGCACCAGCCACATACACCAGAGCTGGCAGGTTTGAATCCAGCCGGGTTTCAATCCCGCCCAGGCCTGCCAAACAACAATGACAACTACAACCAAAAAATAGTCAGGTGTGGGCAGTGCCTGTGGCTCAGTGGGTAGGGCACCGGCCCTGTATACAGAGGGTGGCGGTTTCAAATCCAGCCCCGGCTGAATTGCAACAAAAAAATAGCAGGGCGTTGTGGCAGGCCTGGGCTGGATTAGAACCTGGCTGAATTCTCCAGGGGCTGAGACAAGAGAATCGCGTAAGCCCAGCAGTTGAAGGTTGTTATGAGCTGTGTGACACCACGGTACTCTACTAAGGGTGACTCTGTCTCTAAAAAAAAAAAAATAAATAAAGTAGCTGGGCATTTTGGTGGGCGCTTGTAGTCCCAGCTACTTGGGAGGCTGAGGCAAGAGAATCGCTTGAGCCCAAGCGTTAGAGGTTGCTGTAAGCTATGATGCCATAGCGCTCTACTACCCAGGGTGACAGCTTGAAATTCTGTCTCCAAAAAAAAGAAAAAAAATGTTTAGAAACATGGTTCTGGCCAGGTGCAGTGGCTCATACACGCGTGTAATCCTAGCATTCTGGGAGGCTGAGGCAGAAGGATCCCTTGAGCTCAGGAGTTCCAGACTAGCTCAAGAGAGTAAGATCCCCTCTCTACTAAAAATACAAAAAGTAGCTGGGCATTGTGGCAGGTGCCAGTAGTCCCACCTACTCAGAAGACTGAGGCAAGAGGATCTCTTAAGCCTGAGAGTTTAAGGTTGCTGTGAGCTATGACACCACAGCACTCTACCAAGGGTGACAAATTAAAAAATGAAACAATCAATGGAATTTAAGTATGAAATAGCCAAAATAGAATAATAGCAGTGGGGAACAGCAATTTTTTTTTTTTAAAGTACATCTGAGGTGGTGCCTGTGGCTCAAAGGAGTAGGGCGCCAGCTCCATATACCGGCGGTGGTAGGGTCAAACCTAGCCCTGGCCAAAAACTGCAAAAAAAAAAGTACATCTGGAGATAAACATATGATGACTATTTGATTCAGATATGAGTAGGATATAGCTTTACCTAATACCTAATATTATGTGTACCACTCAGTGAAGAGCTGGGGGAAGACCTGTGTATGAAACAAGAGAACTTCATATATATCGCTAATTTTGACTCTTACCAGTACTAATGACTGATCTGCCCCTACCTTTCCATCTTCCCTGGCAATGGAACAACCATTTCCCATTCACTTGAGCTCAAAACTCTTGAGTCATCCTTTAGTCGTTCTTTTCTGTTCACCATACATATCAAGTGAATAATAAAATCCATAGCCGGGGGTTGTGGGGGGCGCCTGTGGTCCCAGCTACTTGGGAGGCTGGAGCAAGAGAATCGCTTGAGACCAAGAGTTTGAGGTTGCTGTGAGCTGTGATGCCACAGCACTCTGCCCTGGGCGACAGCTTGAAACTTTGTCTCAAAAAAACCCCCCAAAACCAGCCCATTCTTTCTCTGAATTGATCTCAAATCTGTTACTTTTTTTTCTTTTGTTTCATCACTATACCAACCTAATACTGGAGGCAACCACTACCTACTAGGTCTCTTTACCTTGATTCTTTCTAATCAAATCCTCTCTACCTACTGCTGCTAAGCTCATCTGCTATGAACATCTTCTCTTGATCTCTCTCCTGCTCAAAAGATGGGTAGCTCCTGGCTTGGCGCCTGTGGCTCAAGCAGCTAAGGCACCAGCCACATACACCTAAGGTGGCGGGTTCAAATCCCCAGCCCTGGCCCGCTAAACAACAATAATGGCTGCAACCAAAAAAATGGCCAGGCGTTGTGGCGGG